ATCCATTAGGAATTGTATCTTAAAAGATATCAATATCCAAGAAGTGCGGTTGGACACCTTCGTCACCGACTCTAATGGAGTTACAAAATGCTTCACCCTAACTTCAAACACATGTCAAACATGTCGAACCAAACAAAACATTCATCCCAACAAGGCGGGGAGAATATATAAAAACTGTGCATTGTGATCGGCTCAACTCCACCGAACTACCGGGCACAATGCAACAGAAACCAAACCAAAATATTCATCACAACAAGGCGGTGAGAATATATAAAACCTGTGTATTGTGATCGGCACAACTCCACCGAACTACCGGGCACAATACAACAGAAACCAAACAAAAATATTCAGCACAACAAAACGGTGTGAATATATAAAAAACCTGTGCATTGTGATCGGCTCAACCCCACCGAACTACCGGGCACAATGCAACAGAAACCAAACAAAAATATTCAACACAACAAGACGGTGTGAATATAAAAAAACCTGTGTATTGTGATCGGCACAACACCACCGAACTACCGGGCACAATACAACAGAAAGCAAACAAAAATATTCAACGCTTAAAAAAACGTGAATCCCACCAACAAACCAATCATCACCTGAAAAAAGTGTGAAACCGACAAAAAAACAAATCATTCAACACCTGAAAAAAAGTGTGAATCCAACAAACAACCCGTTCAACCCTTGAAAAGAGGGCGAACCTAACTCCAACAAAACACTCTACACTAGGTAGAAGTGCAAATAAAATACAAACAAAATATTCTTTTGATGTGGTTCTACTATGAATGAAGTTCCTAAATTAATAAACCAAAAAGACCTAAGTAGACTTTTGAACTCTTAAACCCTAAAATTAATATATCGGTAAGAATACCTCACACTACATCACCATACAAATCGCCATTACTAGCATACATCAATCTACATACTTCCTCACACAAAGGCGAAATCCGACTAATATATCAAATTAAGATCTAAAGTTAATGACCAAATAGTGAAATTTTAATATTTAATAATATCCTTAATATGATAGCGACCAGAGGTGTTCTTTGAAAGGTCCTGCAAAAGGTAAACGTTATCTGAAATTTTCTCTATAATTTTACATTTAATAAACTTAGGTGCAAGCTTTGCCGAAAAATAAGCTGGAGCATTAGACTGAACAAAACTTCTTCTCCAAACAATATCACCCACATCAAAAGGAATAGAAATAGTAACAAATAATATTAACAATTTTAATATATAATATCAACAAATAATATTAATAAATTTAATATAAAGCAAAGCGCTTTTAACAAATATGACTCAACTCTAACCAAAAAATATCACTAAGTGATCCAAAAGAAAGGGCACAAAAATCCCTTTAACAAACTCAAGTTGGTCTAAACTAACAAAGAATTACCAAAATGGTGCAGAGAAGCATCAACAAATTACTCTCAACCAAACATAAGAAAATTAAGTGTAAAACCAATAACCAAATTTACACTTCCAATAAAAGCTAACCAAATGTGAGGTCAAAATTTAAAGCAAGAACAAACTAACAAAATCCAATCTTTAACAAAACATGAAATACAAGTCCCTACCGTCCTACTGTACCTCTCCACAGGGTTATTTTGAGGTGTGTACAATGTGTTATAAAAAATTTAGTAATGTTGTAACCTCTCATGAAATCTACAAAATGTTTAGAAGTGAATTGAGTACCATTATCGCAAACTATTAATTTAGGACAACCAAATCTAAGAAATATCTCTTTCTCAAGGATTCCACAATTGGACACGGTGGCAGCTTTTACTAATGGAAAAACCCAGCAAAATTTTGTGAAAACAACTACAACTGAAAGAATATATTAATGTGAGGTGCTGTGCTTATAGGCTTTACATGTGTCACAAGATTTAATGTAATTTTGAACATCATTAAACATACCGTTCCAAACATAATGTTGTTTTAATTTCTTAGTGGTTTTATGAATCCCAAGATGACCAGAATCAATATCATCATGGTTAGACTTAATAGTATCAAGAATATGTTCCTAGAAATAACAATTTTCCAGTTTAATCTACTATCCAGATTTAATTTATTCTTACAAAATTTATACAGTGTGTGGTCATCAACCCTGAAACTTTCATAACTAGAAGGGGCTCACTAGGCTTCTGTTAGCGAATGCGCAGTTCATGCTCCTAACAGCTATCATAGTCCGGCCTATCAAAACGTCTAAGCAAGGCAGCCTTAAGCTCAACCCACGAAGAGATCTTCATACGAATAGTCCTAAACCACTTGGCAGCAGTACCAGCAAGCAGATCAGCAAACGAACCAATCAACACGGCCTCATGAAAGTTCCTGAATACAAAGTAATCCTCAACACGAGTGATAAATTCTCTAACACAGGTCTTACCGTCAAAGATTATCTTGCTCCTAGTTAAATCAGGCAGCTTCGTAGTATAGGCAGGCACATTCCTCCTAACGTGTTCATTCATGCTGTTGAACGAAGGCAGACTTGGTGCAAGAGCAGGAGTATCACGAACATATGACAAGTCTAATGGGACGCTCATCTCCGCTGACTCATCCGCAGCTGTGCCAACATCCACATTGGCAGGCGACGTTGAAGGTGGAGCCTCCTTGTCCATATTACAAACCGACATTAACCACACAATTCCAAAACAGCCGTTCAAAGGTTAAGTTTTTTTAAAATTAATTAAGTTTAAATTTATTCAAAAGTCACTGTTGTGAAAACCTAGGTTTAAATTATTTAAAAGTTAAATCCTATGAAAGGATAAGTTTAAATTTATTTAAGAGTTAAATGTTGTAAACAACCAGGTTCAAATTATTTAAAAGTTGAATATTGTAAAGAAAAGTCTAAATTGATTTGAAAGTGAAGTAAAAAAAAGCTAAGTTTTAATTTAAATATCTAAGTTCTGTATTAAAAAGGATTTAAGGATTGCAGTAACCACTAACAATTGTTCTAGTAACTAAATAATAACAGCAAGGCTAAGCTAAGTTAAGTTAATCTTAATTTACAATAAGTTATATTATAATAATTCCAAAGCGGAGGTATCTATAAAATGTTTCTTGAGCAGACTTACAATTAACATTCAAAGCTATTAAATTGTAACACAAAATGTTTCAGTAACTATACCCTTAATTGAGAATACAATAGGCAGCAGTATAACTTAAATTATTGTTGTTTGTTAAAGCAAAAGTAACATTGTAATGAAAAGTCACAATGTTGTAAACCATTATTTAAAAATTGTAAAAATAACCTCACTTAATGATAATACAATTATAAAATACACAAGGTATGTAAGAAAATATAGGATGCAGTAAAGACAGTATCTAATCAGTTATCTAATTAACCTACAAACACTACTTCAGTCCCTGAGCGCTGGCGACAATTGTAATAATAAAAAATTAAAAAATAAAATTTTATGTTGTGGTGTGTTTTAAAGAAAATAAAACTAAATTGGTAGCATCAAATAGAAACAAAATAACAAAATAAAAGTCTCGGGCGCCAGATACCACCTTAAAAGAACACAGAACCCACCACAAACACAACTAATACCTCGGACCTCTCAGCCAGCACCGAACCTTTTTAAAACAAAGCGGGAGGACAGCTAAAGAATACAAGATGTTAAGTTCTAATGGCTGTTTATTATCCCGTAGTGTCTGTAGAGTACAATGTGTCTTATGTCTCTAATTACAATAGGTAATTCTTATACACAAATTAGTACTGTCATTAATGCAATCCTTTCCAATAAGAAAAATATAAGGTTAAATAAATTTTAAAGAGTTACATGAAGACTAAATAGACAAAACAATAAACTCTAAAGGTAGACATAGCATTGACCTACTCTCTAATAAAAATAACACCCCTTAGGGACCTGCAGTGTTCAATGCCACGTCGCCAAGAAAAAGATATAACAAAAACACATACCACAAAACAATGACCTTGGACCAGTCCGAATGACATGAAATCAAACCAACTCCGAAACTTCTCACTCCGGATCCCACGTGGTGGAAGAGGCGGGACAGCACTCCCAGGCTCCAGACCATGGCGTACAGCTAAGCCGCTTTTCCTACCATTCTGGCGCTCCACAGCAAACCAATCTCTTGGGGTTAAACTCCGGCGAGAGACAAAAATCCGAATGCCACGCAAGGACATTCCAACAAGAAAGTAAAGAAATTTAGATATAAACTAAAAAAGAAAAGAACCCTGATTCATCTGCAAATAAGGAAAAATCATAGGTTAAAAGCCTATCTCACAGGATGAACCATAACTCTGACAAGAAATCATATTTCACTTACCAGGGTTCTAAAATGCTTCACAAATCAAGCAGCGGCATTATAAGCATTATAAGCATTGCCTGTAACCAATTAAACAAAGAGTTAAAACCACAAATTCCGCCAAGCCAAGCGTGAAGCACGTGGCCGCACAAACTTACCTTTTTTATCAAAAATAATCACTCGATCCACTAGCTCGAGTCTTAACTGGGTTGGCCAAACATTTAAAGAGGAAATAGGCCCTCGTCCATATCAAATAAATACGGATTTCTAAAAAATTAAATGACAAAATTTGGTTTGCCTCATTTCTCTCGGCGGCCGATCCAAAAGTGAAAGTCAAAGTGATACCAGTGCAATAGACTCTCGCTCTATAGAGCGGGGAAACAAAAATGTTGCCAGAACAAGAAAAACTAAATCGACTAAACTAATCGCGGGCGAACAACATCGATTATTACTCTCGTCCGTCCCTCGACCATCGGCACTCGCAGAAACGACAAAAAAATTCAACCTAACAAAACAAAAACGAGACTAAGGTTCAAATTACTGTAATGGCGCGAAATGCACCGTTACACCTCTTAAACCAGTATGCCATCTGTGCCGTCTATATCTAATATTATAGAGACCAAATTAGAAATGGAAGATGTTTTACAATTTGCTCTTGAAACATAATGTTATAAAACAAGTAATATTAAAATAATACTTATATTTCAGCACAAATGACATAGATAATGTCTTCAGTGCACTGTGTGGTGGTGTGGGAGTGGCAGTGCAACGGGCAGTGGTTACCGCACACACCGGGAGTTACACGAACATTGGAGAGAGCGCATGCAAAAAAGTTAACTAGAGTTGTTCTGGCTGATGCAGATCCAGCTCTCAAAGGGCATTATGTTAATTTGAGGACTCTTACACAGTGTACTGATACACCAGGTAAACTAAGCATGATTGTGTTTGACCCGTTTTAAAGTTTATTTTGTAAGGAATCAGAGTTGAAAGTCTTATAACTTGGAAAAGAAAGCTATCAAATATCCTTATTAAGAAATATATATGAAATACTAGCTTTTGGCACTTTGTGACTTCATACACGTGGGGGTCGTCATGAGCCATCATAGAGGATATGCGAATACCAAAAATAACGAAGTTTCATATAAATTTCCAACCCCCATTTTGGATTTTTTTTAAATCCTTTCTTACTGGACACCTATGTCACCTGATAAACATTTTTCCAAAATTTCTAGGCCCGGCAGCTGTGCGTTGATTGATCATTATTCGGTATTCTTACCAGGTATACCAAAAGAAATATTTTAGATGCTTCAGCTCTTCTGTTCTCCTGTCTAAAAACACTAATGTTCCCTAAGAAGGTTTTTATTTGGTAGACTGCTATTTTAATCAGAAAACCTTGCAATGTCAATCTCAAATAAAATGAAATGCGGTATTTTCGGACCGATACGACCTTCAAACCTTCAAGAAAAGACGTACTCCTTTATAAAAGGCCGGCAACGCGTTTGTGACTCCTGAGTTGCAGACGTTCATGGGTGGCGTTGATCACTTTCCATCAGGTGACCCGTCTCCTCGTCTGGCCCCACTAAAGTAAAAAAAAACTGATTTCTACTAATTCATGTCACTATTCTTGACACAGGGATCTATCAGTAAAACTTTTGATGGATTTAAGTATGATGATAGCACTTACGATAGGTTGCAGCCTGTGATCACTGCCAGTGGCCACTCCTCTGGTCGAAATGTTGGGCAAACCAAACATATTTATTGAATACTTATTGTCAGGATGTTTCCTTCCGTAAATATAATGAAATAATGTCTATAATTAATAATTCATAAAAATGTTCATGTACTAAAGATGGTGGTAGTGCAGAGTGTGGGGTTCGTCGCTCTTGCTACAGCGTACAATCGCCAGCTGGACGTGGTGCGCGATGGGAGTGGGCACGTTTTGTATCCCCACCACTAGGGGGAGAATTAAATTATGAGCCTTTGGCTATGGAGGTAAGTGTTACTTTATGCATCTTTGTGTTTCTCTGTTCGTGCCAAGTTATATGACAAGTCCTGAAGATTTTTCAAATAAACTCCTTTAATTTTTTATTATTTAAATGTAAAACTATATCTGAATTAGGAACTTATTATCTAAATACTTATTATTTTTTTCAAAATAAAAATGATTTGACCGTAATATTTGTCTATGTATTAATGTGGTACCATGTTTGGCTAGATTCAATGCGTCCTGGAAGAGTCTTGGTCAGCGGGCGGCGACACGGTGACGTTCGACGGTTGGATCGCGTCAGTAGGTCGCATGACAGCGCGCGCTCCCAGCACCAATGCGCTGGCGCTGCTGCGGCGAGCGCCGCACCCTCCCTACCCACTCACGCGTACCGAGCAACGTGCTCCACCCGCCCCGCACGCACCGCACCCCTCGCACCCCCCACCTCCTCCTGAACGGGCACCACTCGATGGTAATTGTTTTTTTTATTTAAGTAATTTCGTTTCTTTAATTTTATTTCTTATTTTCTATATTAGTTAGATCATAAATTACTTGAATTTTTAACACATTAATTAATAAACCAACAACTTTTTCTCTTAAATAGAAAAACCTTTTTCCTTTCATGTTGGAAAAAATTCAAATTTTCATCAATATCTTGTTAAGTTTCTGCTTTTTTATCTATCCGTTTGTTGCGTTAGGTCGTCGCCCGCGTATCCCTCAACAGCACACAGGCTCCAGCGTGCACTCGGTGCAGTCGTCGCAGTCGGCGCCGTGCGGCCACAGCGGCGCCCGCAGCGCCTCGCCGCGGGAGCGCAAGCCTGGCTTCCGACAAATACTACATAACTTGAACATATTCAGTGAGTACTTTGCCTCTTTATTAAAAACTAACAGCCTGGTAACAGGTGTGAGGGGCGAACCACCATCTTTCGCCCCAAGCCAACCTCACCTGCCCGCGGTGCATCCTGCTGAACGACGAACGAGGCTCTGGCGACCGACCGATGGCGGTATATCCATCCCAATAGGCGTAGCTAAATACAACAGGCCGGTGACGGGCAGCAGCGTTACCGGTGCGACAAGCTACGCCCTGCGATCGCCAACCCGCCTGCCCAGCGTGGCGATTATGGGCAAACCCCTCCCATGCAGACGCAACAAAGGCCACGGCCCCCAGTTCCCGGCGGCCCCGCTATTCCTGGTCATGGTGGCGACCTCGGTAAAGGCGGGGCAGGGGGTGCGAAGAATCTCCGGGCTACGGGAGGCCACCACAACCGACTGACCCTGGCTACGTACAACGGACGCACGCTACGGCTAGACTCGCATCTGGCGCAACTTGAGGTGGAACTTGGGAAGATTAGGTGGCATATCCTAGGGCTATGTGAAGTCCGAAGAGAGGGGGAGGACACCATAACCCTCGAGTCAGGCCACCTAATGTACTTCCGCGAGGGAGACCAACAATCCCAAGGTGGGGTTGGGTTTCTGGTAAATAAGTCCCTATCTGACAACGTTGTGGAAATTTCCAGTGTGTCGAACAGGGTAGCGTACCTCATTATCAAGCTCACCGAGAGGTATAGCCTCAAGGTTGTGCAAGTATACGCACCGACCTCGGCACATTCGGACGACGAGGTGGAGGATATGTACGATGACATATCGAGGGCCCTCCACTTCACAACTAAGACCCACTACAACGTTGTTATGGGTGACTTCAACGCTAAAGTGGGAGTACAGAATTGCGGCGAATCGGTACTAGGATCCCATGGATTTGGAAGCAGGAATCATAGGGGGCAAATGCTGGTCAACTTCCTCGAACGGGAGGGGCTGTTTTTGATGAATTCTTTCTTCAAGAAACAGCCCCAAAGGAAGTGGACGTGGCAAAGCCCCGACGCTATGACCAGAAATGAGATCGATTTCATCATGACGGATAGAAAGCACATATTCAGAGACGTCTCAGTGATCAATAGGTTTAATACCGGTAGTGATCACCGACTTGTCCGGGGCTCTCTGAATATCAACTTTAAGGCGGAACGTGTCTGTTTGATGAAATCCAGGCTCCGACCAACTCGGCTCTAAGCCATGACAGGATCTGAAACGTTCCAGTCAAAACTGGAAAACCGATTCGCTGCCGTGGAAACCACAATCGACGTAAACCAGAACCTCAAAAATGTGGTTCAGATCCTCAGGGAAGAAGGTATGAGATTTTGTGAAATGCAGCGTAAGGGCAGGAAGTCGAAGCTTTCAGAAAGGACCCTAGGGCTGATGAAGAAACGACGTGAAAACCCACCTGTCACTTTGTCGGCAAAGCGGACTCTAAACCGAGAGATCAGTAAACTCGTACGACACGACCTCCGGTGCTCCAATACTCTTTCAATTGAAAGAGCGATCGAGCAAAATCGGGGGTCAAAAGTGTTCGTACAATCTCTTGGAAGAAGCCACCTGACAAAGTTGACTACAGAAAGTGGAGAAGTCGTTGCTTCGAAGCCGGCAGTCCTTTTGGAAGTGGAAAGCTTCTATGGCCGGTTATACGCTTCGCATGCATCTCGACCTGATCCCGAAAATGAGGACTCTAGAGCCACATTAACACGTCACTACACCGAAGACCTGCCAGAAGTTAGCATTGACGAAATCGAGATGGCTCTTGGACAGCTGAAAAATGGAAAAGCCCCTGGAGAGGATGGCGTTACAACAGAGCTGCTGAAGGCCGGGGGTAAACCCGTACTAAGGGAGCTCCAAAAGCTCTTCAACCCCCCTTTTTAAAGGGGGAACCCCCGGAGGGGGGGGTTTCCCGTTTTTTCGGGGGGGAATTTTGTTCCCCCCTTGGGTTTTTTTTGTTTTTTTTTATTTGGGTTTTTTCCCTTTGGAATTAAAAGGGGGGGTTTCGGGGATTTTTTAAAATTTTTTTGGGGGTTTGGGGTTTGTGTTTTTGTTTTGGGTTTTTTGTGGTCTTTTTTTGGTTGGGTTTTTTTTTTTTTGGGGTTTTTTTTTTTGGGTGTTTCTGGGGCCCCCCGGTAAGTATAAAAAAGGGGGGGGTTTTTTTTTGGAAAGGGGGTTATTTTTTTTTTTTTGAATTTTTTTTCGGCTTGGGGGGTGGTTTTGGCTCTTTCCTTGGTTTCGTTGTTTGGGGGTTTTTTTTTTTTTGTTTTTTGTTTTTAAATTTTTTTTGTTGGTGGGTTTTTGGTTTGGGTTTTTTTTTGGGTTCTGTTGTTTTTTTTTGTTGGGCCTTGGGTTGGTTTTTTTGGGGGGGGATTTTGGGTTTTTTTGGGGGTTTTGGGGTGGGGTTTTTGTTGATTTTTTTTTGGGTTTTTTTTGGGGGTTATTTGGGGAAATTTTTTTTTTTTTTAAAGTTTGGTTTTTTGGGGTTTGGGTTTTTAAATTCGGGGGGGGGGGGGGCCCCCCCGGGAATTTTTTTTTTTTGGGGTTTTCCCCTTTGGGCCCGTCTTGGGGGGTTTTTTTTTTTGGAGGGTTGGCCTTGGGGGGGGGTTTTGGGGGGTTTGGGGGGGGGTTTTGGTCGGGAAAAAGTTTTTTTTTTTTTTGGGGGGTTTTTTTTGGGGGGGGTTTTTTTTTGTTTTTTTTTTGTTTTTTTTTTGGGTTTTCCCAAAAATTGAAATGGTTTTTTGGGGGTGGGGGGGAAAAATTTTTTGGTTGGGGGGGTGTGTGTGTTTATTCGGGGGGGTTTTTGGGGGGTTTTTTTTTTTTTTTTTTTCAACTTTTTTGTGTGTAAAATTTTTTTTTGGGTTGCCCATTGTGTTTTTGGTTTTTTTTTTGGTTTTTTTCTTTTTTGTTTTTAAGCCCTTAAACTTGACATATTTACATAAAACGTTTTTGGGTATTTTTTCATGTTCAACGAACATGTACTACCGGAACCGATTGCGGTACACGGTGCCGTTCTCGAAGTTGTTCAAAATTATGTGTACCTCGGGCAGACATTGCAGTTAGGTAGAAACAACTTCGAGGACGAGGTGAACAGAAGAATTCGGTTGGGTTGGGCAGCGTTTGGGAAGCTACGTCGAGTCTTCTCATCGTCGATCCCACAGTGCCTTAAGACGAAAGTCTTTAATGAGTGCGTCCTACCCGTCATGACATACGGAGCTGAAACGTGGACACTTACGGTACGGCTGGTCCACAAGTTCAAAATCGCTCAACGTGCTATGGAAAGGGCTATGCTCGGCGTTTCTCTAAGGGATCGCATCAGAAATGAGGTGATCCGGCAGAGAACTAAGGTCACCGACATAGCGTACCGGATCAGCAAGTTGAAGTGGCAGTGGGCTGGCCATATTAGCCGCAGAACCGATAACCGTTGGGGAAAACGAGTTCTTGAGTGGAGACCGCGTCTCGGCAAACGTAGTGTAGGACGCCCACAGGCCAGGTGGAGTGACGATTTGCGCAAGATGGCTGGCAGGAGCTGGATGCGAGAAGCCCAAAATCGATCTAAGTGGCGTGCAATGGGAGAGGCCTATGTCCAGCAGTGGACTGCGATAGGCTGATGATGAAAAACTAACAATAAAATTAGAAACACATAATAATTTGTATGTTTGTATTTCAACGCAGGTCATAACAACAAACAGGGTGTGCAACATGAAGTTAAACACAAGGAGGAAGTGCAGGAGGAACCGCGGACAGACACAGAGTGTAGCAGCACTCGGTCGGGCAGAAGACACAGTGTCGACACTGTGTCCACTTATCTCAGCCACGAGAGCAAGGAGAGCTTACAGGTCAATGAGGTTTTAAACCTAGATAGGTACAACTATACGTTTCAAGCAAAGTGAGTGTTTAGTATGATGATCGATAGATGGCGTTGTGCCGATTATCTGAATCGCGATTCGCCTATTGTGTGAGGTTGACAGAATATTTCTTAAAGAACAACGCTCATGTATATTTACATATATTATAGTGTTTTGATATTGCCAGTAAATTCTTGAGGTCATATTTGACATGGAAAGCAGTTTTGTATGTTTTCATTAATAGATCGTCTTCCAAACAGTATTTATATGTGCAGCAAGCCGCAGTGGGTGAGCTGCTCAACTGCAGTGCGAGCAGTGACGATGTGTTCGACAGTACACCTCCACCACTGTCTCCGAACACAATCCATGCTGATATGTCGTCTTCCGACGGAAGTATTGTCGGTAAGTAGATCGTATTTTCAATTTTAAATTGTAGTAGCTACAGTTTAGTTTTGAGTCGCTAAACAGTGCTACATTTATTGATTTGATTCTTAATTTTTCCATTTTATTTCAAGTTGTAGATAACAAGTTTCTAATTAATTAATGATTAAATATATTTTCATTAGTAACTAAATGATTTTAGTCTTTATGTTCTATCTGGAGACCGCGGTTGAGCAAACGTAGTGTAGGGCACCCTCCTGCATGATGGGGCGAGGCAGCGAATGGATGCGGATTGCCCAAGATCGGGATAGTTGGCGCTCGTAGTGAACGGCAATAGGCTGATGATGATGTTCTGTCTAGCATAGTATGTGTGGGTGTGGATGTGTGTCTGTGTGTTTCTTAAGCCGGTCGAGGCTTGCTATAAGTCCAGGGCCAATAGCTTACAGGTCTCGTGTCGGAACACCGAGGCCGCCTACTAACGTTACGTGTGTACTTGCAGGTGTAGACGAGGCGTCGTCGCAGGTGTGCGTGTGGGTGCGGTCGGCGCCGTGCCCGCAGTGGGGCGCGCTGTGCCCGGCCTGCCTGCTGCCGCTCGGCGCCGCCGCCAACGCGCCGCCCGCCCCCGCCGCACCACCCGCGCCCCCCGCGCCCCCCGCCGTCTCGCTCGTGGGCTGTCAGCACATGCTGCATCTGCACTGCCTCAACAGACAGCTCGAGAATTTACGAGCTAATCAAGTAAACTATCTTACTGCACTTACTGTTATTCTCCACTTCCTTTACCCCATTTTCAACATTTTGCAATCGATTATACCTTTTGTGAATTGTAACATTATATGATTACATAGATAAACCATCGTTAAAATTTACTATTAACTATTTCAAGAAACTAATTAAAAATTGACCCAAAAATATTAGTATTTGAAAGCGTAACCAATGCTGTATAATATAAATTTACAAGAAAACAACCACTGATTATTAAATCTTACACATAATTTTGACCAAGGCTTTTGATTGTGTTGATCATAAAAAAAATGTTTGTATGGAAACTTTATTATTACATGTAGTACGTATGTACTGTACATCAAATATTTTTATATGTTTTAATTTATTGATAGGATTCACAGTCAAAGTTTATACCTACACAATTTATAGTTGCGATATCTGGGTAACGTAGGAGTCCCACAAGGAGCAATACTTGCTCCCTTTGTATTTAATGTTAATGGATACCTAACCTTGTTATAAATCGTCATGACTAAATGATGATATGTTCTGTATGCATGATCGTAACTTAATTCTACAAAATATTGTAAGAACTTGATAATAATAAATGTCTTTTACTTCGAGTGTACAAGAGCGTTATGCTTGTTTCAGGAACCGCTGTATATCGAGTGTCTAGTGTGCGGGCGCGTGTACGGCGGTGGGCCGGGAGGGGCGGGCAGCGGCGGGCCGGGCGGCGCCCCGTGCGGCAGGCCGAGCGCCGGGCTGGGGGCCGGCGTGCCGGGCGGCGAGCAGCCCGCCGGCTCCATGGCCTGGGCGTTACAACCGCAGGCCTTGCCGCAACACCCACACTGCACCGGTTCTATACTCGTCACTTACAAGTGCGTGCGTCTATTATGCCGACGTTGATTTGTTTGGTTTGGTTTTTCTTACTTACTACAGTGTGTTGTAGATGTTTTATAGTGATTACGACGTATTGTGAGTTCTTTTTTTCATTATTTACTTTAATGAGTATTTTTGGTCTTTGATTGTAACATATCTATTAAGTGTAAAATTTCGTCCGTTTTAGTGAGTCATCATCTGCCTACCCTTTTCCCAATTTTATTTGGGGTCGGCGCAGTATGTATGATTTTTCCATTCTACTCTGTCATGCGTCATCTCACTGTTTATAGTCATATCGTTTTAGTGAGTGTTTAAATAAAATATATTTTTTGTGTGTCTAGCTTTCAATCGGGTCGTCAAGGTCCCCAACATCCAGTGCCGGGCGCGCCGTATTACGCAGTGGGTTTTCCAAGACATAGTCTTCTACCTGATACTGCGCTCGGACGACAGGTCAGTTCACATTGCTCTGTCTTTATTTTTCTCATCAATTTTTATTTCGGTAGGTATTCTAGTAGATCTGGTACTGTTGGCGGTTTCGTTATGGGCGTAGCGTAAACTCGGAATTGAATCTACGATCGATATTTTTAAAATGCGCTCATTATCATCGTTAGTATATTTATTGGGCGATATAGGATCTGAAGGCCAGTTCTCGTAATAAAAGTTCGGTCACTGTCACAAAAGGTATTTTCGCAGTAAAATAGTAAAGTATTATCGAGACTATCAGATCACCGATTCAATTTTCGGTCACAATACGATATACTAACATCACAGTCGACGTCGGACGTTTAATACTTTACTACGAAAATACCTTTTACGTCTGTCGTGAGATCGAAAATCGACGGGAAGCGAACTGCTGCATCTTCTGTAGATATGACTCGGCGAGGTCGTTAACGTTAGAGGGCGCTGACGTGAGTCGCGTGCGCAGGTGCTGGAGGCGCTGCGCGCGGCGTGGGAGGCGGGCGCGCTGTTCGCGGTGAGCGCGTCGCGCACGACGGGGCGCGAGCACGTGGTGGCGTGGCGCGTGGTGCCGCCGCCCGCCGCGCCGCGCCACTACGCGCCCCCCGCCGACGCGCACGCGCTGCTGCGCGCCGCACGAGCGCGCCTGCTGCGCCTCGCACACCCCTGAGCCACACACAACCACCACTGAGTTATTCATGTTCACTTCGAAATCATACTTAAGAGTGCTCATTTTATTTGTAACACGTAACAATATTTTCATAACGTTACGACTTCCTTCTCAAAAATTTTAAGACTGTAAATAGATCTTTATTGAAGTGAGAACTTCTCATGGGACGGTAAACCGCTTCGTTACGTAACGCGTTACGACGCCAGTCTGTCTGACTTCCCTTTCTCTCACGCATATACGGCAGCGGTAGACAGACTCCTCCTCTCTCGCTCTAAGCCGCAGCGCTAACCGTGTTTCATACGGCCGCTTTACATAAAATTTATAAAATAACCTAAGTTTTTCTCAAGTTAAACGATTTCAGTATTAAATAACAAACTTCGACTTAGATCAGTTTAAGTTATCACTTCTATCGAACATCCCGAGACGCAAATTTTTATTTCATTGTACCGTAAAGTCCACAGACTATATTATTCTATTCATTTAAAAAAATAAAATAACTGATACATAAATATTCATAGACGATGATACTCTGCATGAGTCTTACAGAAATTGATTAACACCACTTTTTAATAGTGTGATATTTTCAATAGAAACAAAAAAGTTGGAAAAATAGAAAAATAATAATAGGAATAATTTTTCTCATAGCCCATGTTAAAGGCCTGACCTAACAAAGTATGAGAAAATCTAAATTCACGGCAAATCATCTTAGATATGTCTTAACAGTCTGACATATTTAAAAAAAAACTTTTGTGACAATAATTGATCCAAATTACTACTAACGATGTCCTTGGACATGAACTTTTTATTTTTAACATGACAAAAGCTTATAACTTCCAAGACTGTACCTTTAAATATAATTGTTATAGTAGTATAATAAATATCTGAATAAAATTAAGTTTCTGAAAAAAACCCATTAAATTTGCTCAACGTGTCATTTGATAGCTGTCAAATGAAATTTTGACAGCTGTCAAATGAAATTTTGACAGCTGTCAACTTGACAACCGTGTAAGGTGGACATTATTTTGATGAGCCGTTCAGCAACGGATTAATAAAACAGTCTCAAATAAATACTTCATATTATATACTAAGTATGAAATCTTGTGAAATATAAAAGAAAATTATTAAATCTAGATATGTGCAATTTTGCTGGTGGTATTTTATGCCCCTAAATGTAATTATAAGTCTTCCAAGCGATGTAATAAAGTTCTTCCCTTTAAGTTATATATGGTAGCTATATTATAATTTAAGAGACTGAAAACTATACAATGTTATATAGAATATTAACTATATTTGTAATAAGTAATGTTGTGGAGGATGAAGGATAACTATAAACCATTCCTCAGAGTGATATGATGATGTGTATTTTGGGTATATTTTTTATCCGTGTGGTGACGGATTAAGAATACGGAGTGTCACAACCCCTATTCATCCCGTGGGTGTCGTAATAGTCGACTAAGGGAGTAAACTACGCAGGACAACTACACTGCCACTAGTAGGCCAAAGCCTACTTTCTAAGAAAAGGTTTATGTCCAGCAGTGGACTATTAAAGGCTGTTGATGATGATGATGATATATTTTTTTGAAATAATTTCAGTAAACATGTTTAGAACTCAAAAGGAAGACCTTCCTTTATTAAATCGATTGTATTTTTTTAAAATTTTATAACGCATTTGAAGTACAGTCTTTCAATAAAAGAATGAATCTCCTGCTTTTAGGGTTAAATAATTATATAGAAACCTTGAAAATTAATTAATTCCAACACAATTAATTAATAGTATAATTTTGTAAAGAATACTTTACTCCCATCGTTCTTGCATGGTTTGGGTCTTCACATTACATCATAATAATTTAAAATTCTATAAACAGCAACATTCAAATAGATACTTCAGAAATACAGTCACATTACTGTATGAGTGAAGCACACTTCATTCGACTCATGTCCTCACCCTAGAATACTGTCAGTATTTAGTTATATAATAGAATATTGTATTTAATTAGTGAGTATGTATCTTGCCAGTATGAGACAGTGGTGTTAAATTCTTTAAAATATACTAAAAATCCCAAAAAAATAGTTTTGTCCCGTCAAATAATGTTTCGAATTCTAATAACGTACTACTCGACTGTTAAGTCTCTACCTAAACTAAACTAAAAATCACTAAAAAGTAGTTTAGTCCTGTCAAGTCTTGACAGGACTAAACTACTATAAACTATTTTTAGTTTAGACTAAACGATCTTTAGTTTAGTTTAAAGAGTTTTCGGACAACAGAATTAGAACCAATATCATTTATGTTGTAAACAGTGGTTAAAAGATGGCGTTTGTGTTGACAAGGCTTTGAGAATGGAAATTTCTGTGCGCTATAGTGAAATTTAGATAAAGATACAGTGATTACAGCACTATGGTAGAGCTGTCTTATATGAGAATCATATACGCAATTTGTGGGTGACATTAATTATTGTTACGAAGATTTATTGTCCTTTATTGCATGTGTTCAGATATTCTATAAAAATATGGGTTCATCTTTGTATACTTAAAAAAAAAGTGTAAACATTTTATTTTATTCCATCCGGTCATTATGGGAGTCTTTGAGTCAAACCCTTTGCCCAGGAGTCGACGTCCTATGGCTGTAATGATAATATTTAAAAAAATACCCGCAATGACCTCACTTGCAACTAGCGCCATCTATTAACACTAAGCCCAACTGTAGTGCCTTAGTAGGTAAATAATTTTATAGCGAATAAATCCTACCATAAATAGGAGTGATACGCTGGAACAACATGCCAATCTAATATGTATCGTATAGCACTTGGCATAAAAGTTAGAAATCTTTAACACAATTGGTATCATTTAAACCTCTTTACATTAAATAGAGTTTATTTTTTAGCTCAAGTATTCCTTTTTAAAGGTATTCCATTGTTATTTTAATTTTATATTGTTAGTTTAAGTTTTTAATCGTCTTCCTGATGCAACTCTCTTCCCTTAAGCTTTATTTTAATGTTATTTAAATATTATGTATAGATATAAATATTTTAGTTGTAAGACGAGCATTTATTACGCAATTTGTAACTACTTGATTAATAATCAGTATGCTTCAAAGCTTTGCTCAGCCAAATGACAGCTGTCAGCTGTTATATTTGTCATTTAGATAAATTTGACAGCTAACGTCAAGTGCATTCTTTTGCTAAATATGTTTTAATTTTTTCAAATACATGACATTGGCGAAATTGTGGTTACACTCTACCACAAAGCCATTAACCAAAAGTTGAATAATGTTTTATTTTTTTTTAAATAGAAAACTATAGTTAAACCGCCGTAAGCTTGGCCCTCCTGATGTTTTGGGGTCGCGGGGCGGGGGTGCATTCAAATAATTAGCTAGTGCGTCGCTGTCCGCCGGCAGTGACTGACGTGAAAGCATGGCTGTACGTGTTATTTTTCTTAAGACTGCTACACACGGTATTATTTTGCAACATAGATAATCTGCTGACTCTGCGTCACAAAAAGATTTAAAAACTTGAAGTTCGGCTTACAGAGGTTCTACTGTTAAAGTTCTAATTAAGAATATTTATTATTTTACTTAATTTTTAAAATTGTATCTGAATATAATTTACATGATGAAGATAAGGTGATTTTATTAAAATTATTTTACAGTATTAAATTTTACATTTAATCATAAAAACTTACAATAAATATATATTCGATTAATATTATCGAAATAATAAATTCGATTTTTATTACATCGTGTGTAGATTAAATCTCAAACAAATAAATCTGAAAATATCGAGTTGGTACATCGTGTCATGTATAGCCGAGCGCATCACCCGCCCCGCGTCCCGCAAACCATCAGGAGGGCCAAGCTTACAGCGGTTTAACTATAGTACTGTTGGTTATACATTACTAATTTTCTTGTTAACTCCTCCAATTAAGGTAAATGCTAACCAGCAGGATTAGGAGTAAGTTCTCGTCAGTTGTATAATGGGTAGAGTTCGAACCTGCAACCACTCAATCCCAAGTCTGACGCCATAACTTTTACAGTATCGCTATAATCTATAATTAAGTATTACTTAACAATATTCTTATCAGAAATTTCAAGATTTGCAAGTTAAACAATGGTTGAGCAAAGCAAAAGTATTGCCCACGCGCATATAGCCAAATGTTGCCATATTGTAAAATATTAGCTTGCCAAAGTGAACTGCTTTGGTTTAATGTATATGTACAATAATTGATTTAATATAACAAATATTTTTATTGTTTAATAAATATAGTTATTTATATTCTTAGTTTTTTTTTTACTTACTTTGTCTTCACGACCACCTGATCCCGAACTAGGAAGACAGTGTACTATACTAAACAAATATAAAATATTAATATTATAGATAGACTACGACTACACCCATATATAGAACAAATATTATCTGTCCTATCTGTTCGTCTTCGAACGGGGTCTTCATCTCCCCGGCCCCAATTGGTAGGGTATTATATCTGACTCGAACCGATTAAAACTACAACGTTTCGTCATCAGGTGTTTTGAAGTCCTTTTGAACCCGGACAGACTTGTCCGCCTGCTGAGTAACCCGACTTTACTGAACTCCCTACCTGTGGCTCAGCAATCTGACTTATTAACCACTAGACCTAACAGGCCTGTAAAACTATTGGCAAAACAGTGTGTTAGATCAGACTTATCAACAGCTGTTTATCTTAACTACTTTGCTTAGGTTAGTTAACCGGGTCAACACTTATTATCACTTTTTTTTTTGTAAAGAGACAACTCCCGCATTAGTAATATATCTTGTGTCGTGGGGGACTTTACAAACATACATGAAACGGACACAAAGAACACCCAGACTCAGAACAACAATTTGTGGATCACACAAAGTGTTATTCCATGTGGGGATCGGACCCACAACACAGCGTAGTAGTAAGCGGCGAGGTGACCGCTTAAACCACTACGCCATCCGTGAAGTAAAATCTGTTAAAATATTAGAAATTTGAGTTATATGTCATACTAATTCGCTTTGGATCTCATACCAATGTCTCTCCTTCTCCTAATCGACACGAGATCGATAAACACTAGCCATGACTTCAGATGTCAGCTGTACCTTTTTTTTTCCGTGCGGAAATCCCCTCGGATACCACCTATCGGTGGCATGTCGGACTCGAACCGACTAAAACAGCACGCCGTCTCGGGTACTAATAGCCGGGGAACCAGGTATACCCTAGAAAGGAAGTCCCTGGTGCTGATGTCAGCTGTACCTAAAATATACAACATAACATCTAGAGTTTTGCCAAAAGCTTACTCCTAGAGCAATTTGATATAATAGTACTTATAAACAGTACCTGGTCTAACTCTTACTTCAAGGCCAGGAGAGTTTAATTTTTGTCGAGTCACAGGACTCATGACAAACTGCGATTTGATTACTTAATAATAATCGTCACTCAAATAGACGATATGGAAGTTGCTTAGAGGCAAAACGCGTCTTCTTTGGACCAGGAGAGACAAAGTTGCTGATCTTGGAGCTAGCTGAACTAAAACACCAACACGACTGAGGGGAGAAGATTGAAAGTCGCAACTCATATAATAAAAGTATTCGAGTTTTCGAGTGTTCGAGTCCGACATAATCACTCCACCGGTTGCCCGGTGGTTGGTAACCAAGGGGATTCATCATCATCATCATCAACAGCCTTTAACTGTCTACTGCTGGACATAGGCCTCTCCTTAGAAAGGAGGTTTTGACCTACTATACCACACTGGCCAGACGGGTTGGTATAGGGTTTGTTTCAAGTTTTCCTTCTCTTTGCAGTGCCGTTGTCCTGCGCAGTTTGCTCCCTTAGTCGACTCTTACGACACCCACGGGATGAACAGGGATGGTGACATTCCGTATTCTTAATCCGTCACCACACGGACAGGGCACATTAAAAAAGGGGTACTAACATGACAAGGACAAAGGACGAAAAGACTTTTCGGCAAGGCAGTTATATTACAACTCCTTTTATCTGTTTTTTAACATTATAATATAAACAAATATTGTTTTGTGCTTTCTTGCTGTCATAACAAGTCTGTTCATACGGTAGCCTAATTGATAAAACAAGAAATACATGCTTTTATTACGCCCGTATTTTCAATTTCCAGTCGTTTTACTATCTATACATAAGGTTCAATTTCCCAATGAATCAGATCACCAATGAAATAGTTTGATAACACAGAATAACAGTAAATGCGACTTATTAAATGAATAGTTACTGATAGTTATAATTGGGTTATCAATGTAATTATTCAGTGCGAATTCTCACAATTGCAAAATGGTGAAGCAAACTAGACGTCTCGCGTTAGAAGAAATCTTAAATGAAAAACAAATTCAAATTATTTTGAAGCGATCCTTCGGTGATGATGTTGCGTGTAAAGTTACGGACAGTGAAACAAAACCAGCAATGGACGGTATAGCCGGATTCCTAGGTGATCATTGGAAAGCTGTTTTAAATGTAGATGTTGAAGGAGAAACGAAGAAAATCCATCTGTTTTTGAAGCGTCTTCCCGTGGAGAACAAAGCTAGGAGTGATTTTATTAATGTTAATAATTATTTTAGACGAGAGGAATTGATGTATAAGCTTTTTGAGGAGATCTGTGATGATGGTAAGTGTATTTCATAAACGATTCCGTTTAGATAACACACACTTGGTTATATTGTATACATACTAACACTTTGAAACTCAAATATTAATACACTTTATATATGGTATAGAGGGGCAAACGAACAGGCGGTTCACCTGATGGTTGTGGAGGAACGGGTGTTATGTCCCTCCAACACAAAGGGAGGATCCTCCGACCAGGCGAGGTGATCATGCCTGGTGGACCGCGGCCCAACGGTTGATGTTTTCAAGTTGTATATATGCTAATCGGCGAGAGAATTGTTCATATCGCGATACAGTATTAGCAGTTACTCCATAGTTCGGTGTGTTTTCGTTAGATGGCGCTGTACTATGTTTTTTGTTTCATGTTTTGAAAGTCGCCACAATGGTAAGTGCCTATCGCTGCCCATGGACACCTGCGACTGAAGAGACACAAATGCGTTCCCGTCCTTTAAGTCCCACTCTCTCAATGGGTGTTTGGGCTCCGGTAACCTCACTCACTCGGTGAAAAGGAACCAAAGCTTAACACCGGTTTTCTGTGAGGTCGTGGTATCACTCCAGTCGAACGTCTCCCATTTGTGCGGAAGCATGGCTTTTCCACGTTTATCGAGTGAGTGGGTCCATGGGTGGCGGTAATGACTTACCATCAAGTAGCCCGTCTGTCCGTTTGCCCACTTACCGTAAAAAAAACGTCAACTGGCATCTTGATACCCTATATCATAAAAAAAGACTAACATTCATGCTATATCTCTTCCAGGTCCAAACCGTTTTTGCACAAAAGCCTACGTTTACACGGACTCCATAGTCGTGATGCCAGATCTCACATTAGAAAAATATGCCTGTCACTTTTATCTGCACACTCTGAACCCGGAACAGGTTTTCGTAGCGACAAAATCTATAGCACAATTTCATGCAGCATTCGTTAATTATGAGACCAAAAAAAGTATGAGTCTAAAGCGTTCATACAGCACTTTACAAGAATACGACCATTTGTTGAAAGAACCAATTTTTTGCGACTGTCCATGGCTAAAAGCAGCCGCTAAATTATCTGCAAATCTCTTAAAAACCTTTTCTGGAAAACCCTACCGTAATTGGCTAGATTTAGAGATGAAATTGGCAAAGAAGTATCTTGAAGCGTGTGATACCTTAAAAGAACATAAAAACACTCTGAACGTTTTATTACACAGAGATTTGTGGGTGAACAATATAATGTTTAAGTATGAAAACGATGTTCCAACAAATGCTGTCCTAATTGACTTCCAAAATTTGCGTTACGGACCTCCCGCTTTTGATTTGATGGTATTTATGTACCTCACTACAGATAGCAGTTTCCGACATGCACGGGAAAGTGATGTATTTGATTATTACTACTCCGTCTTTCATAATAACCTAGACGATAGTTCCAAGAAGAGACTTAAAGAATTGGCCTACAATAAAGACAATTTTTTACAGTGGTGTGAAAAGGCAAGAATGTTTGGTATCCTTGAGGCGATAGGCCTCTTCCCATACATTCTTTTAGATCCCAAGACTGCTAAGAAGACATTTGATAAACCTGAGACGCACGAAAGACATTTTAACGTTGACAGATCAGAGCCAGTCCTGGCTCATGCAGGAAAGTGTGAAATATACAAGCAGAGAAATCTGGATGTATGTGAAGAATTTGTCGAAAGATATTTGTTATAGAATTGCTAATAATATTTTCGTTAGTGTGATTTATTGGAGTTTGACTAAAACATGTTATTGTCTAATATTTAAAAATTTCTTTATTTATAAGAAAATAATTAAAATTTTTATTGTTTTTTGAGACAATTTTTGCCCCTGCACAACCAATCTGTGGAACGGGTTATCGTCTGCGGTATTTCCGGATCGATACGACCTTCAAACCTTCAAGAAAAGAGCGTACTCCTTTCTAAAAGGCCGGCAACGCGTTTGTGACTCCTGAGTTGCAGACGTTCATCAGGCGTCGATGGTCACTTACCATCAGGTGACCCGTCTGCTCGTCTGCCCCTTCTAACATAAAAAAAGTAAAAAAAACATTTCTTAAAAGATTATCCTGCTGCTTTCTCACTTGTTCTGCTTCATGGAATCTATGACTTTTATGGTGTAGAGGGCAAAGGAACAGACGGGTCCTTTGATAGTATTTGACAATCTATATCTGGAAGAAGAAAAAAAAAGCCGTGTGGTGTCGTGGGACACCCGATAGGAACGAAGTTGTGACGATCAAGTAAAACTGATTCGACACGATTTTAATTACAACGCCATCTATGAAAGCGGCTATTACCTACATATTTTTCAGTTGGTTTCTAATTAAAACAATTTATACATTGGTAAAATCTCCTTGAGAAATGATTTCCTATCTATTCGATAGATGGCGCTGAATGACTGACAAGTGACAATTCAAAATACTGAGATGAAAAGTAATGATTTCCTATCTATTCGATAGATGGCGCTGAATGACTGACATAAAAGTGTCGTTACAACTTTTCGTGAGATTTTTTTCCGTCTAGAACTTCGTTCCAATACTTTCATATAAAAGCTTACCAGACGAGCATTTCGAGCAAACTGACAGACAAAATCAAGTATTATTTATCGAAGTTAAAGTCAATCCGCCTTTTGTTAATCCCTTGCCTATGTGTGGTTTTGCGCGGTAATCCATTGACTATTTGCGATAAGCATTGAGGTATTAAATACTACTGTGTTAATATTCTGGAACAGCTTCCCTGCTGAACAGTTAGCAGTGAAGCTGACCAAATTATCATAAACAGCCTTTATTAGTCCACTGCTGGATATAGGCCTCTCTTTAGAAAGGACGTTTTGTCCTACTATGGCCTGCGTAGTTTGATCCTTTAGTCTCTCACAACACTTAAGGAATGATTAGACTTGTTGACACTGTATTCTTAATCCGTCACCACACGAACAACCAAAACAAATTGTACAGCTGATCAAAATAAATTGTATGTAAAAATGACTTAAAATAAGTTCCTATTGCAATGAAATTTGTATGTAAGAAGATATCATACTGGTGCTCGTCAAACATACACATTCATGAAACAGATGCCTACAACTAAAGCACTGGCAATTGTGTTTCTATAACACTCGCTGCATTACATCTATGCAATTGGTTTTATCATTCAGTATAAGCATATCAGTGACGGATTAAGAATGCGGAGTGTCACACCCCTATTCAATCCATACTAATATTAATAATGCGAAGTGTCACACCCCTATTCAATCCATACTAATATTAATAATGCGAAGTGTCACACCCCTATTCAATCCATACTAATATTAATAATGCGAAGTGTCACACCCCTATTCAATCCATACTAATATTAATAATGCAATGAAAGTGTGTCAGTCTGTTCACGCTGTGTCTGTGTGTTCTTCACGCTTTAAGCGCTGAAGCTCTTTAGATGCAATTTGGTATAGAGATGTTCGAGCCCCGGGAAGGGACATAGGATAGTAATTAGCCCAGAAATCTATCTTTAAGGGGGTGGAAGTTTGTATGGGGAATCAAAAACCGCTGTACCGATTTAGATAAAATTTGGTAAGGAGATAGTTTGACTGAAGAAGGACTACCAACATATACGCGGGCGGAGCCGAGTGCAAAAGCTATAATTCGATACTAAATTATTTATTGCGTAACAGCCGACTAAAGGAGCTAACTACGCATGACAACAGCACTGCAAAGAGAAGGAAAACTTGACACAAACCCTATACCAACCCGTCTGGCCAGCGTGGTATAGTAGGCCAAAACCTCCTTTCTAAGGAGAGGCCTATGTCCAGCAGTGGACTATTAAAGGCTGTTGATGATGATGATGATGAAGTAATAATATATATCTACTACATCTCTACAGGCTGGTTGGTCTAGTGGTCAGTGGCCATGACTGCTAAGCCGGAGGTCGTGGGTTTGGTTTCCCACCCTGGACAAATATTGTGTGATGAGCACGGTCATTCATTCTGTGTCTGGGTGTAATTTATCTATAATATGTATTTAAAACTATATAAGTATGTTTATCAGCAGTCTGGTTACCATAGCACAGGCTCTGCACAGTTTAGGATCAGACGGCTCTGTGTGAGATGTGTGAGGTATATTATTATCTCTTATCTCTCAAGTGATGCTGATAACCCAATTGTCTTCAACCTTCTGAGGAAGTCGGTGACCTTGGTAGGAAAGGAATATCGCTTATACGGATAATTGGGGAATTCATTCAATTCCCACGCTAAGGCTATCCGGTTACGGTAGCATTTCGCAGAAAAGGCTTCCAAAAGATTGGTTGACAGTTTAGCTGCTGCTTTAAGAAACGGGGGGTTGCGAAAGTCGGATACAAGTAGGTCAGCGTAGGATATCTGTCACTTCGAAAGCCATTTGACTGCAAGGATGTCGTAGTGGTTTAAGCCTGCAGTGAGTGTTGTGAATTTGATCCCCACATGAGACAAAACTTTGTGTGATCCACAAATAAATGTTCTGAGTCTGGGTGTTCTTTGTGTCCGTTTTATGAATGGTTGTAAAGTCCCCCGCGACACAGGATATATTCCTAGTGCAGGAGTTGTTTTTTTTTAACAAATTAAACCCGTACTACCTAGCTGTCTGCCTAAGTGGCATTACTACCTGCAGTTTTGTTATCTAACAATAGTAATTACACAGTATTAACAAAATGTCAGTGAACAATGCATTTCAGATCTCAAACAGTAGCTGCTTTGAGCCCTCAACAAACACTGTATTATATATTTATCATATTCTAGGCATATTTATAGCGACCACATGCCATTATTACTTGATCAGTTTAATTAAAACATTCAGTAAATACAGTTTAAATATAAATTATAAAAGGAATCGATCTGTGTAATACTTTAAAATACAAAATGGTTGGTTGTGGAAAACGTTTAGTCCTTGAAGAAATTTTAACAGAGAAGCAGATTCTTCATATTTTGAATCAAGCTATTGGTGGAGACGGTCCGCGCAAATTGGTAAAGAGTGAAATACGGCCAGCAATGGATGGCATAGCTGGATTTCTTGGCGATCACATGAAGGGAGTGCTGGATGTGGATGTACAAGGAGAACAAAAGAAAGTGTATTTGTTTTTGAAACGCATTTCGGCCAGTAACAAGCCTAAGGCTGAGTTTATTGACAAACATAATTTTTACAGGCGCGAAATGTTAATGTATCGAGTCTTGGACGATATTCGTGATGATGGTAAGAAAAATGTACATTTTTGGGCCAAAAAATATTTTGAATGAGATTTTTTTTTATGGTATAAGGAGGCAAACGAGCAGGCGGGTCACCTGATGGTAAGCAACTACAGCCTCCCATGAACACCTTCACTCAGTGAAAGGCAACGAAAGAATTGCTTAACACCGGTTTTCTGTGACTGTAA